ACACACACACACACACACACACACACACACACACACACACACACCATCTGTGTCACAGAAGGAATATTTACCCGAGATCATAAGCTCCAGGGGGTCACTGGATGCTGAACACACTTGGGCATTGCTCTTGTCACACCCATAGCATCTGAACCTCCACTTCTGGCTGGGCATCACAGGGCCCACAGAGAACAGGGCCTGCATGTGCCCATTTGAATGTCTCTGTGAGCCCTGGGTCCAAGAGAGATTGCTGTCTCCTTCCTTAGTCAGAATGAAGCTGCCAAACCCCAGCCATGAGGCACACTGCAGGGTCACATTCTCTCCTGGGGTCACCACAGAGCTGGGCAGAGCTGACAGTCTGGGTTTGCTGTAGATGCCTAGGTGAGAAGATGAAGCTTGTTACACAGGCTCACACAGCCCACATTGTCCCTCAGGGTTAGACTTGGGGACGGGGAGTCTCTGAGAAAAGACCCCTTTCCTGAGAGTAGAGCCTTAGACTAGGACCCCGGAGTGCCCTCTCACCTGTCACCACCAGCTCTAGGGTCTCGCTGTCCTCTGAAGAGCCAGCAGGGCTCTCATAGTAACAGCGATACTGTGCTGCATGGAGCTCCGTAGTGACTTGGATGGGGAACTTGGCCTTGGCCCCAGGCTCCATCAAGGTCTGAGTGTACACGTGTGGCATGCTTCCCACTTTATCCAGATAGTACTGCTGTGCCTCCAGTATCCCTTGACACAAGATGGTCACAGCCTTCCCCCAGCTGACAACAGAACCTGGCTCGGCCCAGAGAATGGGTGGAGGGAGTGTCTCTGCAAGGAATTTAGAGGTTGGGTCCCAGTACATCATTCCTCAGATCCCAGAACTCAGCTCCAGGACTCTCCCACAGCATGAGCTCACACCCACTGCTCTCCAACCACACAGCACAGGACAGGACTTGTATCCAAGTGGGGGTGGGGGTGGGGAGGATGGGACAGCTGGGGAGTTACTCACGTTTCTGCACTGGGGTGAAGGGGCTCGAACTCAGCCCTGGAAGAGAGTTTCCCATAAGAGGTGTACTCCTGAAGCCTGAGGAGACTCTCTTCCCAAGAGCCTCCTGAGTCTCTGGGGTCTCCATGGAGATCTGGGTCTTGCTATCAAATGAGATCACTCCCAGATAGGAATGGCCCTTCTACCTCTTCAAACCTCACCAATGTAGAGCAGGGCAGTGACGATGGGGGTCATGGTGTTTCCTCCGACTGGCTCGAACAGCACAGATGTATGAGACCAGAGTGCCTGGCCACACTCACAGACATGCAGGGCGTGGCCACTGCTGGCCTTGTGTGCAGCATCCTGGGGCTATTAATTCAGAAAGAGGAAACGTCTCCCCCAGGTGGCAGGCTCTCACTTCCCCTGGCTTATGGGTTGATCCGGCACCAAGATCTTAGTAACAGGTCCCACCCAGTCCCATCCACTGTCTGCCTTATTTCTTCCTGAGTCAGTCAGTTCCCAGTATGATTTATGGCTAGTCTTTCCCTCTTGGAGCCTCCCCCTGGGGGTCTCTTTTATTACTTCAGCCCACCCATTGGCACAGCATTGTGGGGTCCTTGCCACGTCCTCCCAACTCTCCATCCCTGGAGATGCATCAAAGAAGATGCAGGTTGATGGGGGTCCTTGCCACGTCCTCCCAACTCTCCATCCCTGGAGATGCATCAAAGATGCAGGTTGATACTGCAGGGCAAATGCAAATCAGCATGGACAGGCTGAGCCCCAGACAGTGCAGGTCACGTGGAGCCAGTTCTGAAAGTCTATTATCGTTAAGCGCTGGACCTAGTCCTTTCTCTCCCACATCTCTTGTGAGTGAAAAACTTGCTTTTTTCTTTCCATCATCTAAACAGACTATCACTGTCAAGTCTGCAGTTAACCACAGGATCTAAAGTGACAGAGGATAGTCTACAGTAAACCATAGGATGAGAAAGGAAATAGGAAGGAGAGGAAAGGAGTCCCACTCGGCCTGGGTTGACTGGAGGAATCAGGAAGACTGTCACAGGCTCCAGGAGAAGAATGTTTTGGGACATCATTGCAAGTCTTGACTAGATGAAGCCCTAGAGCTTACAGGGGAGAACCCATGTTGGAGAGCTTATAGGCCTATAGGTTTATAGGGGAGATCCCATGAGTATTGTTCTGCTAAATGGTCATAGTATCAAACTGCCTTCTAAATACTTATCTCTCTACCCATAAATTAACATAGCTCTCAGATCTCATCAGAGAAGCTTCTTGGTGCAGTGGAAGGCAGTTAACTTAAAAGCCCAACTGGTCAAAGTACAGAGAATGTGTCTGGAGTATGAATGCTCAGCCACAAATGGGAGTAGATGATAGATAATTAGATAGATGATAGTTAGATAGATAGATAGATAGATAGATAGATAGATAGATGATAGATAGATTGTAAGAGTGAGACCACTGAGGACAAGTCAGCCTTCGGGTTGCAACAGCAAGAGGTTTATTTGATACACAGGTACCTGTGGGCACAGAGTCTCCTCGGAGGACTTGCATGCCTACAGGCTGGGGCTTGGCATTTTTATAGAGCAGAAGCAGGGTACAGAAGCAGAAGCACGGTTATTGGTTAATTCAAAAACACACAGAGTAATTTCAAAAGTATACAGAGATATGGGGTAAGGGCTGGGGCTAAGGGGAAGTGGGATTGCTAAATGGGAGGTGACCTCGGGGACACAGATGTTTTTCTCCTGATTTCCTGGTATCGGGCCCTGAGGGTGGTCAGATGTTCTGCCCGTAAGACTTGTTTACGGCCTGATCCCTGAAGCTTGACCGGCGCCTGCCTGTCCTGCAGCTTTTAGATAAGACTGGTTCTGGCTTCTGGCTGACAATTTTAAATATGTGGGCTGGTGGGGGCTTGTGGCGCCTTAGTTTTCTCA